ACCCAGCCCCTGCAGGCCCCTACAAACACACAAGAACACACAAGAACAACAAGGACAGACACAAATACAGGTACCTTCTCCTCCAATGAGAACTCCCTCTCAAACTCCCCTGTTAGCCGCCCTGTTTGCTGCCTCCATAATGCAGTGTAGATGCTGGAACCCCAACTTGGGAGCCCGGGTTCAACAATTCCTAACCTGGGGTTACAAATGAGTGTAGACGCTCAAGTCCTAGGTTAACAAACCCAGGGCCTGTTAACTCAAGTTCTACTAACCCAGGGCTTCCATTGCAGTGTAGACAGACCCTGAGTGTCTGAGCTGGGCCACCACTAGGTTCTCAAGCCAATTCAGCTGCAGGGATCATTGTGTTCTCAGCTCATCCAAGACTGACCCCTCCAGACAAGGGGTTTTGTTCCTCTTCTGCTTTACCCGAGGCCTCTTTATCCACGGTGTGACAGCGTGTGGTTTTCCGTATTCCGCATACGACGGACAGCATGTGACTAAAAACAAGATCAAACCCAGCCCGCTGTCTTTAGAACCAGGGCTGTGGGCCTGCAGTTGTAGCCAGCTGTGCTCTGCTCCCTAAAGCACAGTCAGAGTTGGTGGGTACTTTGAGAGGTGGTCTTTCCAGGAGCACTGGCAGGAGGCGCTGAGCCAGTGCCCCGGGATGGTGTTTGTGAAGTGGCTGCTGCCCTTTGGAGGAGCAATGAAATTCTGGTCCTGACCTCTGGTGTTCACCACTTTTTGTTCAGGCTGAGGTTGCTAGGTCCTCGATGAATTCTAAGTGGGTTAATTACGCCTTTGCGTCATTGAGAGGGAGTCCGGTCTGGTGGCGGGAGCAGGGGATGGCCGGGTCTGCTCCTGACTCTGCCGATGAAAATATTATTTATTGTATTACTGTAGCACCTAGAGGAGCCCTAATCAGGCCCCACAACCCCGTTGTGCCAGGCGGTGCCCAGACACAGAACAAAAAGACCCTCTGTGCCCCAGAGAGTTCACAGTCTAAGACAAGAGGCAACAGAGGGATCCAGACAGACGGGGTAGCACAAGGAAACAATGAGACAGAGTTGGTCACGATGGGCAGTGTCTCAGCACATCAGCAGCCTGAACATTGTAAAGTTTTTTGTTGGCATCTCACTCGAGGAGAGATTTAAGGAGGGATTTAGAATCATAGAATCTCAGGGTTGGAAGGGACCTCAGT